TTTATAGGTCGAATCGAACTATGTTAGTAGACAATTTGGTTTGAGTGACAACTGAACATTTTGCAACAGTGTAAAAGAAAAAAAAAAATTAGCTATGTTATANTATATATTCTTACTCTAAGGAAAAAGAATACAACTGGAGGCTAAGTAGCTAACAAAAACTATAAAAAAGATTGACTAGGAGGAGCACTAACAGTAAGTGCCCTAACTCAAAGAAGGAATGGAATCTAGCCGTCGGTAGTAACAATTATATTGAATCCGGTAGCTTGAACAACATTTTCTGCTGCAAATACTAAAGACAGCCCAATAAAAGAGCAATTGATTACTGAACCCAAGGAACTTAGCCAACTGACTCGCAAAACACCAAACCAACAAAACAAGCAAAGAAGATACTAACTACATAGGTAGAACCAAGAGAGACATTTTTAGGTTTGTGAGTGATAGGGTGGTTCAGAAATTTAATAGCTAGAAAAATAGCTCATCATGGATGTGGAATAGTTAAATGAGAGTCAAAGCTTCACACCAACATTTTTTCAGAATTGATGTCTTTGATGGCAAGAGCATAAGTATCTAGAGTGACCCTTGGGTACTTGGTATATCTGCAGGAATACATGATATCCTCAAATGTTACCAAGGTTTTAGAGCTTTTACTAGCTGGTGGGAGGAGATGGAATAGAAAACTGGTAGAGACCTTATTTGGTGAAGTTGAAAATGTTGCGATCCTCAAGATAAACATCTTGAACCATGCAAAAAAGGATAGGTGTTGTTGGACTGGTAATGAGAAAGGATTTTTCTCTATGGAAAATGCCTATGCTAAGCAGATGATTAAGAAGGTGTTGATTATGGATAGAGTAGAAGGAATCAAGTCAGCAGCTAAGGATAAGATTGCAAGAAACACATGCTGGAAGATTAAGGTGAAAGTCAAACTCATACACTTTATTTGGAAATGTTTCAATGATAATCTTCCAACAGGTGTGTTGTAGCAAATTTTGTTTTATATTTTTCCGAGCACCGAGTTAAAAACTCGTTTCCCGGGTCGATCTCAAGGACTGGTCAATCG